ATGGTGGAGACTAAAAGTATTGCCATGTGTTTGAGGTCATGTTCCCAAGGACATGAAACAAGACTGAGACTTGTAGCCAAGTTTGTTACTGACCATTTTGTTGGGCTAGTGTGAACAGCAGGCCAGTGGGGTCCTGGGTCCTACCTCAGGCATCCTAGCCTGAGGTACCCTTTCTTTTGATAGATCCATACAGAAAGACATGTAAAGCACACCAGATTGGCTACAGTTTAAGACTAACCTCACAAATCCTTTTTAATTAATTAAAATGTACAGAGAATATAAACAGTGATCCTTATTATTTCTTTTACTGATTTGCACAGGGGGAGAGAAGCCAAAAACCTGATTGGTTAAAAAAAAAAAAAATGTTTTACCCTTTTGCCAGCATGTCAGGCTTCTGGATTTTTTTCCCTCTAGCTCAACTCTAAGCCACAAATTTTAAAGTTTGGGGAAATTAACTTTTCCAGTTTGGATGAACATTATAAAAGAATCATTTTAAACCATGAAAGAAGGAAAAACACCATAGAAAAGTCTGGGGGCTTCAATTAGGGTTGTCAAGAGGTCTTGCTTCCCTTCCTATTGGGAATGGTGTTTCCCCTATTTCTTCACCTTCCCTATTTTCTCTTCCCTTTTGGCCTATTATAGGAGAAATATTGCTCATCTCCGAAATTCTCTGTTGTCTGCAGAACTGCCTGTTTCTCAGCTGTAGTTAGGGTTTGGCTTAGAAGCAGCATAACATCCCTTCATGAGAGGTCAAACACCTGAGTTAAATTTCGGAAAGGCTTCTGTATATTTATCAAGGTCATTAGAAAATCAGCCAAAGTCTCTGTTTATTTGCCTAAGGTCCTGTAATGAGGAAGCCCTAAATGAGGGGATTCCTCAGATTGTTCCCCTGGAGGTTGTTTCTCTAACTTCAGAGAATCATTCTCCCTAGGCTTGCCTGATATGACTACTGAAAGGGCTGGGTTGATTTTGTGATGCCTGCAAATGTCTAGTAAGAAGCTATACCCTTGTGCAAAAGAAAGTTAGCTGCTTTTTCTTTAAATTTTTAGGATCAAAGGAGTCCCTGTGTTTCAGAACACACTCCAGAGTAGTACAAGCTGAAGATGATCTGTTACCCATCTAGAAATAGATGCGAGTAAAATGTGTCCTTTAGTCTCTTTCCTTTTGGTGTGATCCATGTGGAGAGGAAGCCAGTGAAGGCATCCCTCCTGCTATTTTTTTTCCCCTGTAGTTCCTGGGTCCCAGCACCTTACTGCCTGTGCTGCTCGTGGTTGCAGGTGTGACCCCCAGCCATGGAACCAGAGGAACTAAGTGATTGGGATTCGTCACGCTCACCCATGTGACTCTAGTCCTCTGCCTGTGATTTCTCTTTGAATTCCTTGACTTGTGTGACCTGCCTGGCTCCCCGCAAAAAATGGACCTCATGGACCTCGGGAGAGACTATGTGACAGTGGCATTTGGGCAACTGTTGCACTTCCCTTCTTAATGGAGGAAGTGTGCTGGTTTAGCTCTACATCATGCTATTATTGCCTGTGCTAAAGCATTTACCCTTAGAGAATGCTTCCAGTTAAGTTCTAAACTTAAAACCCCTTACTAATTAAGTACCCTTCTAATTGGAGGTAGAGTAGGTGCCTTAAAAGAACGTAGGAATTGGGTTGCTGTTTTCCTGCTGATGGGACAGTATATAGACTAAAATTTGGTTTTGGAGGATATTTTACTCCTAGTCGTTGAAGGCAGAATGCTTCTGTTCACAGAAGCAGCATAAAGCCTGGTTTCTAGTAGAGAAGCACAGAAAGGGAAGAGAATTGGAAAGAGTGTTTCGGCAAATAACTGATAATGTGCCTCATAGAGAGAATCCCTATTCCACTAGGTGGCACTGTTGGCCTTGACATGCCATGTGCTCTCCAGACCAAGGGCAGAGAGATTTTGACATGCCATGTGCTTTCCAGACCAAGGGCAGAGATCTGGAAGTGCTATTTGCTCCTCAGGGGATGAGAGAGACATGGAAATGCCATGTGCTCTCCAGACCAAGGGTAGAGAGAGACACTCACTGTGGGGGATGGGGAGATCTTCTGTTCCTAGAAAATCACAAAGCTGCCTTCCCTTGCACTATATCCCCAGTTACTATGACATTCCCTGATCTTGCCAAACAAGATTACTACTATGAACTGTAAAACTTCCAACACACTGCATACACAGAGAGGAGAGGAGCTATGGCGGTCATAGACAGGAAAGGAGGAAATTATGATAGAAAAGTTGGAGATCCTGTCGCCAATGCCCCATCGGTGGTTGGAGTCTGGTCTGAGTCCAGAAGCCTTTGGATAACACCGGGAAGTAACCCCAGCCAGAAATCCTCAGTTTCTCCAGAACCTCTTCCAGCCCCATGTGACAGCTAATTCCTCCAGGAAAGGAAACTGTTTCAAACATAGCCCACCTGCCCAGCAACCTGTGGGTACTGGGAGACTCTCCATGTTCTCTCTAGCAAGCCAGTCCCCCAAGTCTTGTCAGACTGGCAGCCATGCTAATTGTTTTTAAATGGCTGAAGGGGGCCCAGTATTTGGTTGATTTGGTTCTAGAATGGAGGATGAGAGTCCTGAAATGAAAGGACAGAGTTTGGAGTCCACTTCTGTACTCACTGTTTCAATGAATGTTGTACCTTGGTATCCTGGACGAGGTCCTCAATATGAAGCGACTACATTGTCTGGGGGAGATACCCGGGGTTTGTCATCTTGCACCAGAAAAACTTAGGACACGGACAACACGGGGAGTTTAGAAGTGGAGGTTTAATAGGCAGGAGAAAAAGAAAGAGAAAGGAAAACAGGTCTCTCCCTAGTGAAAGACAGGGGACTTCTGAGAGGAAAAGAGTGGCCAACAGCAGATGCACCAAATTAAATAGTCTGGCTTGAGGAGGTGATGTCTGATTTATGTAGGGCTCACAGATTGGTTCGACCAGGTATGATGTTTACATAGTGTCCAGGGAAGACTGGCCTCTCCACCCTAATGTTATTATGCAAATGAACTTTCCTTCTCAGCCGGCATCATCTTGTCTGCTATACGGCTGACAAACAGAAGGGATGATGGAGCCACCATCTTGAATGTGTTTGGCACCACTGCTGGCATCTATGTGTGCGGCTCAATTTTACAGGCTGCTCTTTGTTAGAAAGGAAAATAATTTGTTGCTACTTTTCATTAAAAGGAAAACCTTACCGAGGACTTCTGTATCCTCACTATCTGCTTAAATAATTTCTTCTTAACTCCTGTATCGGTAGGATTCTCCATGTGCGAAATTTTAACACAGAGTTTCAAGACAGGAAAGAAAGGGGAATATTTATCTGGTTGAAGGTCTATCTTATCAGAGAAGAAAATCTTTTCTGAAATCTTCAACTGATTTCCATTTATATCTCCTTGACTAGAACTGGGTCTGATGTCCATTCCTAAATCAATCACTGATCAAGGGGAATGAGTTTATCACTAAGGGCAGGGTACCGCTTCCTTGAACATAAGGCCATCTCATTCTTAACAATAAAATAAGTAAAATCAGGGTTTAAATGGCAAGACAGAGTGGATACACTGAGCTGAAAAATACATGGTCCCTAACTCAAGAATCTCTTAAACTTAAGTAAATTGAGAACACTTCTCTGGAGATGTCTTGACAAAGAACACAAGAGAACATTAGCAGATTGGGGTGTGTTGTGAGATTAAAAACATATGAAAGAAATGACATCATAAAGATGATGGAGTAGAAAGTTCAAGGAATTTGCCCCTCTACTGAAGTCCTATATTCTCTACTGAAGCGGCTGTTGAGCTGGCAAGCACTGTCCAAAGCAACCATTTTAGAACTCTGGATCCTAGTCAAACACTTGTAGCATCCAGGGTAAGTCAATGATGAAGAAAGAGGCTGGTCACTGGCTGACAATGGAGATGATGGAACAGAGACTTCAGTGGACACACATCAGAAGGAATATATTTCTTGTCAAAAAAGTTCAGAAAAGTCACTAAGCAAACTGATGACTGTAACCTTCATCAAGTAACAGTAGTGATCCTTGGGGAGGAGGCACAATCTGACTTTCAGTTACCTAATTACAGGATTCAAAATGTCCAGTTCCCAACAAAAAATTACAAAGCCTACAAAGAAGCTGGAAAGTTTAGCCCATTCACAAGAAAAAGAGAAATCCATAGAAACCGTGCCTCAAATAGCTCATGCATTGGACTTAACTAGACAAAGACTTTAAATGAACTGTCTTATATATGCTCAAAGGTCTGAGAGAAATCATTGACAAAGAACTAAAGAAATCAGGAAAACAATGTATGAACTTATTAACTATTAGATATATAAAGTTATGTTTTTCTCAGCTGGGGTTAGCTCAAGAAATTTCTTTGTAGGATATGTTTATACTCCTTAAGTGGTTCTTGAATTCTATTCAGGTCTAGATTTTTAAAAGAGATTTGGATTCTGGCATTTGTAAAGTAGACTTTCCTGTTGGGGTATAGCTGTCAAAGGCATCATAGATAGTATTGCTAATGAATATAGAATACTCAAGTAATAGTTTTAAAAAAAAAGCTACTGGGGGGTATCATTTTATTAGCTTCAATACTTTACATTTTTGGAGAGGTGCTGTATGAATTACATTTCTCTTCTAGTATGGAGAAGTATCAAAAAATTTCCATTTTTTACCATGGAAAAGTTTCATTAGGTAGTTTTCTCCTCACTGTCTATATTATTTTCAAAGGCCATACTCTAACATACCATAAAATTTCTTTTTTGTGCATTGCTTTTGCAGTGTTACTTGTGAGGTCAGAGAATACTCAAGGCACAACCCCACATATCATACAGATTCTTCCTTGCCTCTTGTAAAAAATCAGCAAGAGACTGTTGTATTAGAATGACATTTTTACATAAGTATGAGATGTAATTTTTAGCTAAGACTGTAAATAGTTAAAAGTTTATGCATTGCCTTATGTGTGGGCTACCAACCAGCTTTTCTCTTTATTCCTTCCAGGTTGATGAGAAAGCTCTGAAGCACATAACAGAAATGGGCTTCAGTAAGGAAGCATCCAGGCAAGCTCTTATGGATAATGGCAACAACTTAGAAGCAGCATTGAACGTGCTTCTTACAAGCAATAAACAGAAACCTGTTATGGGTCCTCCTCTGAGAGGTATAATTTATTAAACAGTGTGCCAGATAGTATTGTTTGCTTTTTAGATGAATATTTGTTATTGACAGAGGCTGTTAGCTGTGAGGGCTGTAATTTTATTTAACGTTATGGTAAGTGGAAGGAACACCAGTTTGGGAACCACAGAGACATTTGTAGTCTCAGTCTCGTTGTCTTCATCTTTGTACAAAATGCGTCTAACAACAACAACAAAACAAAAACAAAGTGGGTCTAACAATGACTTATTTAACAAGGTTGTTATGAATAACAGAGAAAATATGTGACTGGTTCTATTATTTCTAGAACTCTGCCACCTGAGTAAATGACTAAGCTTTTAAAAATTAACAAAAATATTACATTTACTTGGTGATATTATTATTGTTATTATTTTTTGAGATGGAGTCTCACTCTGTCACCCAGGCTGGAGTGTAGTGGCGCGATCTTGGCTCACTGCAAGCTCTACGTCCTGGGTTCATGCCATTCTCCTGCCTCAGCCTCCTGAGTAGCTGGGACTACAGGCGCCTGCCACCACACCTGGCTAATTTTTTTGTATTTTTAGTAGAGATGGGGTTTCACCATGTTCGCCAGGATGGTCTCCATCTCCTGACCTCGTGATCGGCCCATCTCAGCCTCCCAAAGTGCTGGGATTACAGGCGTGAGCCACCGCGCCCGGCCTTGGTATTATTCTTTAATCATTGCATGGTCAAGTTTATTATGTGGTTTTTCAAGTCCCAGTCCTATATTATTTTTAAAATGTCTGTGGTTGAAGAATAAATTATAATTTTTACTTAGAAGATAGTTTATATAAACAAATTCAGACTTCTGAATAGATGATTTATTTAGAGGATTAAATGTGCTACTTAATATAATTACTTAAAAAACTTTAAAAAATTACTGAAAAGATGTAGACTATACAAAAAATATGGAAAGAAATTAAAATCCCTATTTAAAATTTTTGGTTATATGTTAGTATATATTCTTTTTGTTTTTGCATATATAGTACATATTTCTTGCTTTTACATCTAAAGGTAGAGGAAAAGGCAGGGGACGAATAAGATCTGAAGATGAAGAGGACTTGGGAAATACAAGGCCATCAGCACCAAGCACATTATTTGATTTCTTGGAATCTAAAATGGGAACTTTGAATGTGGAAGGTAGGCTAATTTAAAGTCAATTCTTTTTCTTTTTTTCTTTCTTTCTGTGTGTGTGTGTGTGTGTGTGTGTGTGTGTTTTAGTGTATTCTTTATAAGAGACCAAACTTTATTTGGAACTGTATAATAAAGCAACTATAATATGAACATATATCCTGAGTGTTTATTTATAAATTTACTTAATTACAAATTCCTGTTTGACAAAAGCACAGAAGAAAATGTTATATTCTGAAAACATAATGGCAGCTTATTTTGCCCCCTAACTGGGATTAGTAATCTCACCAAACTATTTTTCCCTAATTTGCTCGTATCTAGATGACAGATATAACTATGTAAACAGATTGTTGTTTTGGAAAATTTATTATATAATCTTATATAACATTTTGATTGTGAAATTGGTATATCTCTTCTTTCACTCCATATTACATAGTTTGAAAATGTTCACACAGTGAGTGAAAATGCTTTCACAATGTGATATTTTTTTTATATACTTTAGTGATTGACATATTGAAAAGAGAACTAAGTATGGTAATATGCAACCTTTTTCTAAGCACATAATATAGTAAATATTTTCTAAAATGATAAGTTTTCAAAATACGATCCAAAAAGTTAAGGAAATATGCTTTTAAATTCAATTTCTCATTCAGATATATTTTGAATCTAGCCAAATAAGCTCATAGATAAAATGCTTTTGTAACAAATGTGAAATGTTCAGATTTCATAAAAATTGAAGCATGTTTGCTAGATTATATAGAAAAGGCAGTGTAGCATTTGAGAAAACAAAGTTTGAGGTAGGCAAGATTTGTAAGCATGATGTATTAGTTTTCTGTTGCTGTGTAACAAATTACCACAAAGTTAGTGGCTTAAAACAATGCAACTTTGTTACCTTATAGTTTCTTTGTGTCAGGAGTCTAGGCACAGCTTCACTGGGGCCTCTGTTTAAAGTCTCAGATGCTGATGTTAAGATTTTGGTTGGAGCGGTGATCTTATCAGAGACTTGAGGTCCCCTTACAGGCTCACCAGTTCTTACAGAATTTCATTTCCTTGTGGATGCAGGACTGAGGTCCTGTTTTTTGCTTGGTGTTGCCTGGAGACTGCTTTGTCTCCTAAAAGCTGCCTTCAGATTGTTGCCACATGGGCCACCCCATAGGCAATTTACATATTGTTTGCTTCTGCAAAGCCAGCAACAGAGTCTCTGCTGCTGCTTCAGATCTTTCTTTTTCCTGACTCTGACTTAATGAGTATTTTTGTCCCAACCTCTCTTCATACTGTCCCACTGAGAACTCTTTTGATTTCCTTTCATCCTCCTATCCCCTTACATTTGCTTTTGACTCCTGTATTAGTTTGTTTTCAAGCTGCTGATAAAGACACAACCGAGACTGGGTAATTTATACAGGAAAAAGGGTGTATTGGATTTACAATTCTATGTGGCTGGGGAAGCCTCACAATCATTGTGGAAGGCAAGGAGGAGCAAGTCACATCTTACATAGATGGCAGCAGGCAAAGAGAGAGCTTGTCCAGAGAAACTCTATAAAGCCATCAGATCTCATGAGACTTATTCACTATCACGAAAATAGCACAGGAAAGACCTACCTCCATGATTTAATTGCCTCCCACTGGGTCCCTCCCACAACTTGTTGGAATTCAAGATGAGATTTGGGTGGGGATACAACCAAAACATATCATTCCACTCCTGGCCCCTCCCAAATATCATGTCCTCACATTTCAAAACCAATCATGCCTTCGCAACAGTCACGCAAAATCTTAACTCATTTCAGCATTAACTTAAAAGTCCAGTCTCATCTGAGACAAGGCAAATCTCTTCTGCCTAAGAGCCTGAAAAATCAAAAGCAAGTTAGTTACTTCCTAGATACAATGGGGGTACAGGCATTGAGTAAATACAGCCATTCCAAATGGGAGAAATTGGCCAAAACAAAGGGGCTACAGGCCCCATGCAAGTCAGAAATCCAGCTGTTAGTCAAATCTTAAAAGCTCCAAAATGATCTCCTTTGACTCCATGTCTCACATCTAGGTTACACTGATGAAAGAGGAGAGCTCCCATGGTCTTGGGCAGCTCCACCTCTGTGACTTTGCAGGGTACGGCCTCTCTCCAAGCTGTTTTAACAGGCTGGTGAGGAGTGTCTGTGGCTTTTCCAGGTGAATGGTGCAAGCTTTTGGTGGATCTACCATTCTAGGGTCTGGAAGATGGTGGCCCTCTTCTTACAACTCCACTAGGGGGTGCCCCAGTAGTGAACTCTGTGTGGGGACTCTGATTCCACATTTCCCTTCTGCACTGCCCTAGCAGAGGTTCTCTATGAGGGGCCTGCCCCTGCAGCAAACTTCTGCCTGGGCATTCAGGAGTTTTCATATATCCTCTGAAATCTGGTTGGAGGTTCCCAATCCCCAATTCTTAACTTCTGTGCACTCATAGGCTCAACATCATGTGGAAGCTGCCAAGACTTGAGGCATGCACCATCTGCAGCCACAGCCCAAGCTCTACGTTGGTCTCTTTCAGCAATGGCTAGAGTGGCTGGGATGCAGGGCACCAAGTCCCTAGGCTACACACATCATGGGGACCCTGGACCCAGCCCATGAAACCATTTTTTCCTCCGAAGCCTCCTGGCTTGTGATGGGAGGGGCTCCATGAAGACCTCTGACGTGGAAGACATTTTCCCCGTTATCTTAGGGATTAACATTCAGCTCCTTGTTACTTATGCATATTTCTGCAGCTGATGTGGATTTATTAGAAAATGGGATTTTCTTTTCTATCACATTGTCAGTCTGCAAATTTTCCAGACTTTTATGCCATATTTTCCCATAACCTCATGATTTAGGAGACACTATAGAAGTTGATATGGTTTGGCTGTGTCCCCACCCAAATCTCATCTTGAATTCCTACATGTTGTGGGAGGGACCCAGTGGGAGGTTATTGAATCATGAGGGCAGGTCTTTCCCAAGATGTTCTTGTGATAGTGTAAATCTCATGAGATCTGATGGCTTTATAAAGTGGAATTTCCCTGAACAAGCTCTCTCTTTGCCTGCTGCCATCCACGTAAGATGTGACTTGCTTCTCCTTACCTTCTGCCATGATTGTGGGCTTCCCCAGTGACATGGAACTGTTAAGTCCAATAAACCCTTTTTCCTGTATAAATTACCCAGTCTCAGGTATGTCTTTATCAGCAGCAGGAAAATGAACTAATATAGTAAATAGGTATCAATAGAGTAGGGCACTGCAGAAAAGATAACCCAAAAATGTGGAAGTGACTTTGGAACTGGGTAACAGGCAGAGGTCGGAATGGTTTGGAGGGCTTAGAAGAAGACAGGAAAATGGGAGAAAGTTTGGAACACCCTAGAGACTTGTTGAATGGCTTTGAACAAAATGCTGATAATGATAGGGACAATGAAATCCAGGCTGAGGTGATCTCAGATGGAGATGAGGAATTTGTTGGGAACTGGAGCAAAGGTGATCCTTGTTATGTTTTAGCAAAGAGACCGGCAACATTTTGCCCCTCCCCTAGTGATTTGTGGAACTTTAAACTTGAGAGAGTTGATTTAGGGTATCTGGCAGAAGAAATTTCTAAGCAGCAAAGCATTCAAGATGTGACCTAGTTGCTGTTAAAAGCATTCAGTTTTAAAGGGAAAACACATCATAAAGGTTTGGAAAATTTATGTTTGGGTTCTCAGGGACACCTGCTCCTTGGATGAGCACCATGACCTTGACTCACAGTCTTGCCTTCAAGGTTTAGTAACCTTGTTCGGGACCCATCACACTACATCCAGGAAGCAAAATTTTTAATCTCTCCTAGATGTACTGTGTGGGGAGGGCACACTGACTGATTCAGGAAATGAGCAGAAGGCTTCTTAGGGGAGATGGCATCTAGCCAAGACTGAGGAGAAGTGTTGGGGCAGTCCAAGTAGAGGGAGCACTATGTATACAGGTGTGGAGGCATCAGAGCACCAGTTTCCTGTGCCTGGGAACATATGGTAGAGGCAGTGCTGTGAGGAGAGAATTGGAATTGGCAGGCTAGAGCCAGTTTACAAGGATTTTGTCCTCAGGAGTTTTAATTCTGTCCAAATGTGATACAAAGGCATTACAGGGTTTTTGGCATAAGAGCCATGAGGTTTATTTTGGTGCTTTAAGAAAAAATTTCTTGTCTGCAAAATGGAAAATAGGGTAAGATGGGATTGAGATTGAAAACAGGCAATAGTTGTATGTGTTGTGGGGAATTATTCATTCAATAAATGCTGTATTTTGTTTAGTATTTAAAATACCTCATTCAGAAAACTCAGGGAAGTAGACTGATTTTGTAGCTCTTGTCCCAAAGATGCTCACTGTCTAGTGTGTGAGACAGAAGAATCATAAACTAAAGGAGTATAGGAATGCTTACTTTCAAAGGATTTCATCATTTACTTAATGTAAAACAAAGCAATACTGAACAAAGTGTAAGTGCTTAGCAGAAGTTATTTTGAAAACAGTAATCAGATTTGATCTGGTATATTTGTAACCTGTAATAATATTTAGTCTTTTATTTCAAAGTTTTATTGCCAAAATAAGACCTACCAGTTGTTTTGAATGGCTAGTAAATAATCAGGCATACTTGAAAACACTGTTTGGTTTGCTATTTGATTGTTTTAAAGGTTTACCTTACCGGGACCTGATTGTACCATTACTAGCAGCTTTTCTGACCCTAAACTCTCTTTGATGATGTTGGCATCACACAGAAGACATTCATGATAACACACATAAGTACCAATAGCTAGACAATAAAGTGATACACACACACACACACACACACACACACACACACACATGCATATACATATATGGAAGATTATAGTGCTTGTAGCTCTTTCTTATATTCTCCTGGCTGTGTCTTCATAGGTATGATGAAGATAACAGGATTGATGGGAAAGCTGTGTGTTGGTTGCCCTCAGGTATCTTTAGCAGGGATCGTTGTGTTACTTTCTCTTGTTGACCTTCTCACACTACTAAGTGCCAGTAT